GGAGTGTTTTTCACCTTTATTATCCAGGACTAAGGAATTACTGGACATATGCAGGAACTGGTAACAAATGAACTGAAAAAATGGTAAAATAATTCCTTTGTCCTATTTAGTCTGAATATTTTAACAAGTTAGCATTTTTAACAAAGTAAGTGTAGGGGCTCTGATTAAGATTTATATTATTTTAGAAGCCATCTATAACTGATTTTAATATTTCCATGCTTTGAATTAGGGTGTATCTGCCTAGCGGGTGAACCTCCATAACATGGGCTGTGATTTTAGTTACAGTAGCAGGTGGGGAACCTGAGCTAGGGGGTATTTAAACGTGTCCGGATAAGGGGGAGCATACCCAATAGTTGTTGTGCAGTTCTATCCTGTATTATTATTTGAAACCCTGTATTACTTATAAGTAGCGCTTTGTAACTTATTTGTAATTGTTTATATATATTGCTCTGGGAAAAGGATAGGCAAAATCTCTGAGAGACCAGGAAATATATTTTAAAAAAAGGGCGTATTACACTAGTGGTAGGGTGGCCTATCATGACCATAGAGACCCTTGGTGACTAGTTTTTGTTGTATATTGCCCTGGGAAGGGGATACACTATTTAATAGAAATTCCTGAGAGACCAGGAAATATACAATAAGTGATACGTGAGTGTACTGGTTAAATTGCAGACATATTGGCCCAGAACCTTTAATCGAGCCGGAAAAGAGGCTGCTGTATGTTTGCTCCTCTATAATTTTGCGGGGGCGGTCACCCCCATGCGGAAAGCCACTGCCATCACAGGGTGGTTAGTTGTGCAGGCCCTTAGCCGCTATGTGCAAGCATGTCCGTGGAAAGGCTAGAAATTAATAGGGAGTCACTCATAGCTGTCAGAAGTGTTGAACTTTGAGACATATTGACCTATATCCTTTCAGAGGCGGAAGAGGTGTTGTGGTTCACTCCTCTATAATTTAACCAAAGGGTGGAGAGTTATTGAACATGTTTAGGTTGGCTAGAAATGTGTTTCCTGAATTGCAGAGAAGATGCAGAAAGCAGCTATTAGCTGATTGTTTATTTATTTATTTTTTTAATTCTTTATTTTGAAAATTTTTGTCATTTAACGTGGGGATACAGAAAAGAAAAGTTGGCGGTACAATTGTCATACAAAGTTTACAGAGTTATCACATTCTCATGTAGCATATGATCAGGCTATATCATGTGGCATATCTTTCAACTTTTCTTTGGGAATTGGGAATTGGGTGGGGTACAGAAAAAAGAAGAGGGAAGGTGAGTGGGGTACATATACATACAGTTTCGATTCTTCCTTTACATCAATCCAGTTCTCTTTATGTTGGTGGGTCTGGGTGGTTATGGGAATGAGTTGGCTTGTGTGAGCCTTTTTGCGTGGTGTAGTGTCCGTGATGGGTTGCGTCATACGCTGTCAGCGCATATTGTTGGGTAGGAGTGAGGGGGCAGGTGTTTGGGGGTACTTTTTCCTGCTTGTTTTGCGTTGTTTCCTAGTTCAGGTGTTGTCTATGCTCGGTTTTGGTTGAGTTGTCTGGTTCACTATGATGTCTGGGGGTGTAAGAGGGGTGCCGGGGAAAGGGGAGGTGTGGGGTGGGTTACCTTCACTTGTTGTTTCCGTTTTGTTTTTCAGGTTGGGTGTGGACCCAGTTATAAGGGGTGGTCTGGTAAGTCGATGCGTGTGTCGGCCAGCGTGGGTTTTCAGCCCATTGGTGAGTCTGAGATGTTATGGGTATTGAGGTTGTTGTCGTATGTTGCTTCTTTTGTGGCACTCTTTTATGGTTTCCCATCTGTATGTTTTCTATTATTTAAGTGTGTGCTGGGTGCCTCTCGTTGGGGTTGTGCTGTGGTTTCGCTTACCTCTGGGGTTGTTGGTATGGTTGTTGTGTTGTGTGGTCACTGGATTTAGGCTGTTTCAGCTGTTTTCTTAGTTGGCGGATATGTTTGGTTCTGTTGTGTTTGTTTCGGGGTGTCCGGTTTTGGGGGATTTGTTCGGCCCTTTGGGGTTTCTTATCTGGGGGTTCTCTCAGTTTGTATGGTTGGGGGTTATGTTTGGTGGTCTTGGCTCTTTTGTGTTTCTGTGTGTGTGGGTGGCTGGTGCTAGAGGGGATGTGTCTGATGGTTCTGGGAGGTGTTGGTGGTTTAAGTGTCTGCGGAGCGTTTTTGTAGTGTGGGTGTGTGTGTGTTTCAGGTGGAGAGAGGGTTTTCGTAGAACCATGGGTCCCAGATTTTGTGGAAGTGCTTAGTCGAGTCGTGTACCAGTGCGGACAATTCGTCCATTTTAATTGTCTCTTTTATTTTTTGGGTTATTGTACCCACGGTCGGGGTTTCTGGGCTACCCCATTTTTTCGGCAATGGCTCTTCTAGTGGCCAGTGCTATTTTGGCAATTAGTTTGTTTTGGGCCCTAGGTGTGTTGGGAAGCGGTTTGGATAGGAGCCATGTCCAGGGGTTTAGTGGTATGTCTGTGTGGAGGATTTTCGATACCATGGAAGCTATTTGTTGCCAAAGTTGTGCGGTGGGTGTGCATTCCCACCACATGTGGAGGTATGTGCCCTTCTGTCCGCAACCTTTCCAGCATATGTCCGTGTCTGACCTGCCCATCTGCTTGAGCCTGAGGGGGGTAAGATACCATCTCATAAGCGTCTTGTACGCCTGTTCTTTGTGGTTGACACAGATTGATATAGATGCTGTGGCCTCCCAGATCCTGGCCCAATCAGTCGGGGCTTCTGCCGGGCCTAGATCCCTCTCCCAAGCCGACACATATGTAAGGGCCCCGTCTTTAACATTTTGGATTAGGTGTGTGTAGAGTGCGGATATTTGGCCTTTTTGTGTCGGGGATTGCATGCATTGTTTTTCGAAGGATGTGAGCTCTTTAGTTCCTGCTTGTTTGGTTATTGGCATGTCTAGGAAGCTTTTGATTTGTATGTGACGGAACATGTCAAATGTACGGTATGGTGTTGTATGTGGGAGCTCTGGGAAAGGTATTGGTTGTTGGTTTTTGTAGTAGTGGAACAGTCGAGTGAGATCGTTTGCCTCGAAGCGGGCGAAGTCTTTGGGTGTCATGCCCGGTGGGAAGTGGGTGTTGCGAAGTAGCGGGGTTAATGGTGAGTGTTGGGTTGTAAGGCCGCTCTTGTGAGTTGTTTTGTCCCATATGTTTATGGTGTTGAGTATCGCCGGTGATGTGCGGGGCAGCGGGGGCCTCGCTGATTTCTGTAGCCAGATGTATAGTGAGGGGAAGTCTCTGCCGAAAATGTCGTGTTCAAGATCTACCCAACGTTTAACTCCGTATGGGGCGTGCCAGTTTTGGGCCTGCGTTAGTTGGGCTGCCTGGTAGTAATGTGTAAGGTGGGGTAAGCCCAGGCCCCCGGCTCTATTGGGTACATATAGGGTTTGGCGTTTTATTCTGGCGCGTCTGTTGGCCCATATAAATTTGTCGATGGTTGTTTGCAGTGTTTTGAAGTCGCTGCTCCGGATTGGGATCGGTAGGGTTTGGAATAGGTATAGAAGCCTAGGGAGCACGTTCATCTTGACTGACGCTAGTCTGCCCAGCCACGAGATCGGCATGTTTTGCCAGGTAGAGATGTCGTGGGTTATTTTCTGTATCGTGGGTGTATAGTTCAGAGCATAGCATTGGGGTAGGTCTGCCGGGATAGCGATCCCTAGGTATTGTATGTGGGTGGGTTTTAGTCTGAAGGGGTATTTTTCTTGGATGGCTGCTGTTGTGGAAGGGTCTATGTGTATTGAGAGGGCTTCTGTTTTATCTATGTTTAGTTTGTACCCTGATACCGCCGCATATGCTTCTAGGGCGTGTAGAAGTGGTGGTAAGGAGGTTATGGGTTCCGTGATTGTGATGAGTAGGTCGTCTGCATATGCTGCCGTTTTATATTCTTCCTCTCGTATTCTGAGGCCGGTTATGTCGGTGTTGAGCCTGAGGCTCTGTAGGAGCGGTTCAAGGGAGAGTGCAAATAGGACTGGGGATAGTGGGCATCCCTGACGCGTGCCGTTGTAAATCGTGAAGGAGGGTGGTTGTGTATGTGGGAGGAGTAAGTGTGCTTGAGGTGTGGCGTATAGTACTGTCAGCGCGTTCCTGAATTCTTGTGGGAATCTGAGTTTTTCGAGAGTCGCGAATAGGAAGGGCCAAAGTAGTCTGTCGAAGGCTTTTTCTGCGTCAAGCGAAAGTATTAAGGTCGGGATTTGTCTTGTGTGAGCTGTCCAGATGAGGTCGTATGTCCGTCTAGTGTTGTCGCTAGCCTGTCTCGTGGGTATGAAGCCCACCTGGTCTGGGTGTATTAGTCGGGTTAGATATGGGTTGAGGCGGTCTGCTAGGAGTTTGGTGAGTAGTTTGATGTCGACGTTGAGGAGTGAGATTGGTCGGTAGTGTCCTGGGTCTAGGAGGGTTTTGTTGGGTTTGGGGATT